ATCGCCCGAAGTCTTGTTCGTGATGAAAGCTCTAGAAAGAAACACTTCCTTCGTTTTCGCTCACGAATTTGTGTGAGCGTTTTCGCACATAAATTTGTACGAGTGCTAAGACAGTTTTTTAAGGATAAAAAGGGTTAATGGGAGATAAGATGCTCTATAGCTAAAAGAAGTTATAATAATACAAGCTGCGAAGTTCGTAATACCCTAAACTTTAAACTATTTGCTTTGAGACATGAAGAGATAGAAAAGCTATTCTCAAAACGGTCGATTTTAAAACGCGGTATGTTAAAAGGTCACGCGCGCCTAATTTCTTAAAGTTCATAATAACAAGAGCCTCTTAATATCTAACACCAGGACAGATGATGGCGAAGTTCGTTTAAGCGCCGCAAATTAGAACGTAAATAAAGAGTTCTGTGTCCAATCCTGTGAATGAAGACACACAGAGGTTAAGAAACAGAATCTTAGAAACTTTTTCCCGTATGCGGCGGTCGTTTGGGAAGATGACTCTAAACTAGTCGTACCAACTACAGGAATGGTCTCCAATTAACAGACTCAACATACACAAGAAAAAAAACAACCATCCCTTTATTTTCCATGTCAATCAATAAAACGCCAAGGTGTCTCAATTATCTTGAAACAAAAGCTATAACCTGTCTCAGTTTAGTGCATTGTAGGGTTTTCTAAACATACTTTAAGAAGAAAGCTGTGACCACATCCGTTGGTTGAATGAGCAAATTCACAAGCTGAAAAGTTGATGAAGGAAGTTGATACCTTCATCGCTTTTAGTAAGCTTTCGAATTAAACGCCGTGTCGAGTCAACGTGGCCTTGCCATTTGAAAGAAAAGGAAATTGTCTGATAAATTCGCATGTAACATTCGGTCCACGCTAAGATGTAAAGAGAACCTACCGACAACCTGTTCTTATATTACGAAGTATGAATATTGTGACGTGGAAGGATTACATAATATGAGCGGAAATTTAAAAATTAACACAATCATGATCATTTACAATCTAATGAGCAATATTATTTATCTTTGTTTCTATGATAGCGTCAACACTAGCCTAACATGATTCCAAAGGGTCTATTTTGAAACGAAACATTTAATTTCACATTTTATCTCACTTTCATTTAACCGTATGACGCTTCTTTTCTGTATTCTATAAGGAATTTTTCAATTTTGGGCAACTGATCAGAACGCGAATATTGATCACCCATGCGAGAAATCATTAAAGAGCTCTCGTACAGTCAGTAGGTGCAAAAAAGTGCCACTTACCCCGTGTTGATGCAGCTAGCATTAAGAATGGGACTATAACGACCTTTTTCGCAGACATTTCACCTGTGTGACGGATACACTCTCGTTTTTCGTTAAGTCCACCTGCCTCAAAGTTATCCCTACAGTAATATCAGCATAACGTCGGTGATTTAATGTGGGACAGCTGGAAAAATTAATGAATGATTGACGTCTATTTTGTCATACATGGTATGCAAGGCCAATGAGAATGAAGCGTGCCCTTCGCAGCCGATTAGAACTAAACGAGATCATCTCGGGTCGATTTCCGATTATGAAATCTGAGCTCGCCCGAGGTCTTGTTCGTGATGAAAGCTCTAGAAAGGAACACTTACTTCGTTTTCGCTCACGAATTTGTGTGAGAGCCTTTTCGCACACAAATTTGTACGAGTGCTAAGATAGTTTTTTTAAAGTGAACCATTTTGTAAAACGTATTCTCGTAGACACTTACCTAAGTAACATGCACGTTCTTTCATTTAGAATTAGATTTCTTTTCTAATCATTGTCATTGTTACAAAGCATTAGGGACCGTCTATTATTTATTGACTGGAAAGGGGGGAAGGAGGATTTTGGTTGTGCTATGATAAGATACCCCTCCTACCTAGGCCCTGAAATATTCTTATGATCGTCGCCTATTTGCTATTAATTGGGAGTCAATGTTTGATAGTCTCCCCCATTTATATTCTTTTGGCGACGATTGATCCCCCTCCGTTTCCCCCTAAAATTCATGTGTGTTCCCTCTCAGGCGGATATAATGACTGGTTCCAAATGTCGAATATTTTCGATGATATTGTTAAACGACGCAGGTAGAGATCATGCACTGATTGTGCCACATAGAGCAGGAGTGAACACCTGAATTCGTTTTCGCTTAAGCATTTGTACGTTTTTACATTTTTGGTAATATCTCTCGAATTATGACAAGATATTGTTCCATTTCGGTCGCGTCGGGCGGGAATGGAACTCATATATAGTTTTATTTAAATCGATATGACGTTCGGAATCGTCATTTTTGAACTTCAAGGCTGACTTGGATCGGAACGACTTAATTTGAAAATGGTGGCAGATTTTCCCATCCAAAATTTCTAACTCTCTACGGTCTGTATTCTGTTTGTTTGCTGCCGCCGACTCCACAGCAAACTAACAGGTTTACTCCGAAGGTTCTAAATTTTTACTTTAGTAGTTGGATTTCCTGAGCGGGCCCGACATCAAGTTGTGTCGGTTTCTTACTTAAAGGTATTTCAGGAGAAAATAAGTTTGAAGTTTGAAGTTTTTGTTGAAGAATGTTAATTTATAAATACACTATAGCAGTTCGAAAACTGGATTGATATAATTTAGAAATCTAATCATTAACTAATCTATCTTACTTGAAGGATAAAAAGGGTTAATGGGAGATAAGATGCTCTATAGCTAAAAGAAGTTATAATAATACAAGCTGCGAAGTTCGTAATACCCTAAACTTTAAACTATTTGCTTTGAGACATGAAGAGATAGAAAAGCTATTCTCAAAACGGTCGATTTTAAAACGCGGTATGTTAAAAGGTCACGCGCGCCTAATTTCTTAAAGTTCATAATAACAAGAGCCTCATGATAGCTAACACCAGGACAGATGATGGCGAAGTTCGTTTAAGCGCCGCAAATTAGAACGTAAATAAAGAGTTCTG